CGTCCATCCCCTAGACGGTGAGCACCGGACCCATTAGGTGTGAATATACCTATCTCCTCTTCCCCACTCCCACCTGCCCGACACCCCAAGAATGTTACTATTATATGTGGATGTAACTGCTTCTTGTGTTGCATTTGCCAGTGTCCCATTGTCCAAAACAAGTCATTTGGCCACCCCTAATAGAAGGGTGGGGAAAGGACTTTGCTGTTATTATGGAAATAATAGAGAATTATGGGTATTTTCACTGTCTGCCACAATGATATTTATTTTTATATTTTTAAAGACACTTAGAAAATTTCTGTTTTATGTGTATGTAAGGATGAGGGAGCTAGTAAAAAATAACAAGGATGAATATAGAGGGTATGGAGGATAACTGGTGAAATGAGATCACTAAGAAGGCAAGAACTACTGAATTCAGGGGGAATTCACCTTTTAGAAAGCACAGGTCATCATTTTTACTTAGATTGAAGGAAAGGGAATGAAGGTGAATCTAGAAAAATTTGATTTCCTGGTAACCTCAATTTTTTTCTGGAGTAAAGAGATCTAGGTCATCTGTTGAGTATAATGGGGGTGGTGGTGGGTTAAGGGTTTGTGGAGAATGTTAACTTTTTAGAAGAGCTGTTGAGCAGAACAGGGGAGGAAGCAAAGGTCCAAACAAAAGAAAAGAAAGAAACAAAATAACCAACAAAAAAGCTGAGAGGCACAGGGCCCAGCTGAGACTGCAGACACTGGACTTGTGCTTTCACCAATCCAAGTGCCTCACCCAGCCCATATGTGAACTGAGAAAGGTTCCTGCTCTGTATACAAATGTAAGGGAATTCAGCCCTACTCTCAACCGGTGCCCTTGTATGGGACACAGTTTATAAATCAAGTGCAATGATGCTGCCAATTGACAAGGTGGTGCCAATTTTTTCTTATAACTTTAAGTAGATTAGGTCTAGGAACATAATGGCAGTTTCTGGGGTTGATTTAAAAATTAGTATTTGCAAAGAAGATTGGCAAGAGACCAAGATAGATAGAATGTTGACAATGCTGGCAAGAAAGTTGAGATTGAACCAAGTATTACTAAAACCTCAAATGAAAAATAGAAGATTAGAGAGCTGAGACTGGGTAGCAACAGAGGGGCTCTGTCATGAAGGAAATATCGTTAGTTCACGGTAGACACAAAGAAAGCACTGATAAAATTGTCAGTATAGGTGATCAGATTTTAAACGTTCAATCTGCTAATAGGTCAATTTGGCGATAGAACTAGAAGTAGGGATACCAGAAAAGATTATTTATTTAATTTATTCAGGAAAGAAGGGCTGAGAATCTGCCCTGTAGCATTGAATATTCATCAGAGAGAAGTGGACCAATCACTTGGTAAGTTTAGGAGGCCAAGCTGAAAACGATGTAATGACTGGTATTTGAGGATAATGGGAAATCTAGGGTTACTGCCTTGCACAGCTGCACAGATTCAGGAGGAAGAGCACTATATGGCACCAACATCTGGTGCTGTCAAAACCTCAGCAACTATTTAAAATATCAGGTAGCAATATCAATCATTTCAGCTTTTATTCAGATGCTCTGAGATATCTTAGACATACTAGGGAAAATTGAATATATGAAGGAGCAGTTAATATTAAGTTTACTGAAATTACAAGGCAGCTCTACAATAGAGATTAACTGTTTAAATAACTGATGGTTTCTATTATGCAGGATTTGAGGGTGGATTTATGATTAGGATCATCTAAGTAAAGAGAGCATTGCATTGCAAGCATGTTCTGTTCCTGAGATTATTGTGAATGTATTCCAGAGTTGAGGATAGTCTTTCCAGGAGAAGAGAGCTTTGAGAATGACTCTGGGGGAAGTGTGTGGTGAGGTGTCTCAAGGAACCAGAAGAGTTCTAGGGTCTGGAGAACATAGTCACGGGTACTTCTAGAGAGATGTTTGAGGCACAGGAATCCATAAAGATGAGGTAAGAAGTAAATGGTGGAGAAGATAGAGAACAGTATTGAGACAGAAGGAATTAGAACATTAGTAACAAACTTAGAGAACAACATAAAAGGTTATTAGTGAGAGAAGAAGAAGGGATGGAACTAACTTGTAGACATCAATAGAAAAGTTTGGCATCACTGTAAGGCATTAATAGGGAACAGGTAAAATTAAGGAATGATTGTGAGCTATTGATTGAGAATTCAACAGTTGCTCATTCCTTCTTTCTGCATAAAATTATTCGTATCTTTATCCCTTCTTTTTAAACTTGTGAATAAGAGGAACTCATTTTTTCAGTTGAGAGGAACTCAACTGAATTTTTTATTAAAACATGAGCCCTTCACTCATGACAATTTTGTAAAAATATGGTACCACATATTAATATTTGTATAAATTAGGATGGCATCATGTTGTATTTGGAAGTTAGACATATTGAAAATACTTATTATATTGAATAGGAAAATATAATAAAAATTATACATAGATTAATATAAACATTTTTAGACTTTTCTGTCTTAGAAGTTCTTCAACAATCAACTTGTAAATTGTATTAAGAAGTACAATAGCATTCTTTTTTATTTATAGTAGGTAAAATATTACTTAATGTGGTAGAATGTTTGGTAATTAGAAGCCATAATCTTGAGAAAGTTGGATAAAATGTCTCAAATTTACAAGTCTGTGGCCTTAAAATACTGATAATTTGGTGGATAATCAAGATAAATTAATGAGTTTGTTATATATTGGTTTAGTGCAAAAGTAATTGCAGTTTCAGACTGTGAATTTTAAATCATTATAACTAGGCTCAAACACATCTTTATTAATCAAAATAGGAACCATTACAGTCAACACATTTTTGTCAGTGAGAAATAAGTTTGTTTATTCCTGTAGCATAAAAATCTGTTCTTTGGGATCCGATGAACTCTTGGAAAGCATTTTCTGCTTCCTGCTGGTTGTGGAAGCCTTTCCCCTGCAAAAAGTTATCGAGATGCTTGAAGAAGTGGTAGTGGGTTGGTGAGAGGTCAGATGAATATGGTGGATGAGGCAAAACTTTGTAGCCCAATTCATTAAACTTTTGAAGTGTTGGTTGTGTGACGTGCAGTCGGGCGTTGTGGTGGAGAATTGGGCCCTTTCTGTTGACCAATGCCAGCTGCAGGTGTTGCAGTTTTCGGTTCATCTCATCAATTTGCTGAGCATACTTCTCAGATGCAATGGTTTCGCCAGGATTCAGAAAGCTGTAGTGGATCAGACTGGCAGCAGACCACCAAACAGTGACCGTGATCTGTTTTTGGTGCAAGTTTGGCATTGGGAAGTGCTTTGGAGCTTCTTCTCAGTCCAACCACTGAGCTGGCCGTCACTGGTCGTCAGTTGTCGCATAAAATCCACCTTTCACCACACGTCACAATCCGATTGAGAAATGGTTTGTTGTTGATGCGTACAAGAGGAGAAGATGGAACTTCAAAACAAAGATTTTTCTGATGTTTGGTCAGATCATCAGGTACTGACTTATTGAGCTTTTTCACCTTTCCAATTTGATTCAAATGCCGATTGGTGCATTGAGTTCTTGGGCAACTTCTCACATAGTTGTGAGAGAATCCCCTTTGATGATTGGTCTCAATTGGTCATTGTCTACTTCCGATGGCCGGCCACTGTGCTCCTCATTTTTAAGGCTCTCGTCTCCTTTGCAAAACTTCTTGAACCACCACTGCACTGTACATTCAGTAGCAGTTCCTGGGCCAAATACATTGCTGAGGTTGTCTCCACTGCTTTACAACCCATTTTCAACTAGAATAAGAAAATCACTCACAATTTGTTTTTTGTCTAACATCATTTCCATAGTCCAAAATAAACATAAAATAAACAGCAAGTAATGTGTCATTAGCAAAAAAAAAAAACCATAAAGTGAGAAATGAGCATTAAAATGATATATAACATAACAACATTCAAGAATGTATTCCAATATCAAATGGCAAGTTTTCAACAATGCTAAAACTGCAATTACTTTTGCACCAGCCTAATATTTTCAGTAACTGATATTCCCTAAATTCTTTATTAGAGATGCATATTTATCCTTTCTCTTCTATACTAAGAGAATCAAACCAATACTTTTGAAGGGACGCCTCTGTTTAAAAGGCTTTGGAATCATTTATGACTTCAATACTTATCTGAAAGTACTGGATGATTTTTAGAATGGCACAAGAATACACATACCCAGCTATTTCACAGGCTCTCTCTAGCTTCTCTTGTAAAATGACATATTGTTTATTCCCTCTTTATTTGGTGTGAGATTGGTGGGTTGTGTTGTTTCAGGTGGATTGCATTTGTAAAGTGCTCTGGCTTCTTTTGACATGAAAGAAAGCCTGTTTCTTTCAGCATAATCCAAAACGTCTGTTAAATGCTCATTAAATGTTCATGTTAAGTGTTCATTCTGGCAAGTAGTGTAATTAGTGAAAATAAACTAAACCTTCCTCTCTATTTTGGACTTTGCTTTTACTCTCCTAATTTATCATTCTGTGTTGATGTTGGGTTGGGTGCTTCATCTTTTGATTTCTGGGCACTTTATCAGGTTCACGTGTGTTAATTTTTTTTAAAGGATTATAGTCATTATTATTATATGATGAAAGAAAATCCATTTCATTTTCCAAAGTGAATTTTGGAATTTATACTGATGGTGATTTAAAATCTTTTCAAATCACACCATTCAAAATTCAGATAACTATTTCTGACGTTGTCAATGAATTATTTTCCAAATGGAAACACGCAAAACAATTTTACATCGATTTTCATTCCGAGGAATACATAAGGTAGAGGATATACTACTTCACAGCTTATTTATATCTCATTTCAAACTTAAAGCAATGCCTTATTAGCAAAACAGAATTTCCTGCGTTTTTATGGAGGTTTAAAGATGTCTCCCTTCGTGCAAACTAGGAGAGGGGCTGTTTGCATGATCACACAAGTGAGGAGAATATTTGGGTAGTTTCGCAAATAATGCCCTATTTCAATCTGTCTATTTCTCTTTCCTCTAGTTAACTTCTTCTCCCACTACCTCTGAGCAGCTTGCCTGTAAACCACATGCTTTCTCCTTTGTTTCTCCAACTAATCCGAGCGCACCACTCGACCCAGCTAACCTCGACGGGGCCTCTGTCCTAGAGGAGTTCCACACGAGGAGGCTGCACGCCAGTGGGGCGGTGGTGGAAGAATCAGCTACGTATTTTCAAACTACCGCCCACTCTGCACCCTTCTCTGCACCGGAGGGCGCCTCCTCGACGTTACCGTTTCCCCATTCCGCTCAGCTACCAGGTTCTCATCTGTTCAGTCCGAGCGCAGCCCATCGGAAACCTGCACTGACACCCGAAGCTCTGCAGAAGACAGCTGTCGCCTCGCCTGTCCTTAGTCGCGGAGAAAGCCCGAGAACCTCTCCTCCTCCGCCGTCCACCTGTGCACCCCCGAGGTCGAGTCCGGCCTTGTACATACCGGTCCGCATTGTCACGCACTCCCTGTCTCCGAGTCCGAAGCCGTTCACCTGCTCTTTCCACGGCTCCTCTTCCACCGTCTGTAGCCAAATGTCATCGAGCGGAAATCTTTCCAAGTCAGGGGTAAAATCCCCAGTGCCCTCTCGGCTCTCCCTCCTCACGGCCATTCTCAAGTCAAAGCCCTCTCACCAGAGACCCTTTTCCCCCGCGTCCTGTCCCACCTTCTCTCTCAACTCCCTGGCCTCGTCCACGCTCACACTCGATCAAAAGCCAAAGCAAACCCCACCGCCCACGCCTAAAAAGTCTCTCTCAAGCTCCTCCCTGAGAGCCGGGTCCCCAGATCTAGGGGACCACCAGGATGCTGAGCTGACTCGGCAATCCTTTCACGTACCTTTACCTGCCCAGTCTGCTCCCATTTCTCAGGTGCCCTCCCGCTCCCCTGCAAAACGTGTGGGTAGCAGTCTGGTTTCTTTGAATGTAGAGAAAACGCCACCCCCCACTTGGAAGAGCAAAACCATGCTCTCCCTGCTGCAAACCGACATGTCAAGTTCAAGTTCGACAGGTCTTCCTCCTGTCCCACCGAGCTCTTCTCCTCTCTCTTCTTGGAGGGGCAAACAGGATGGTGACCTCAGGGGTCCAGAAAAGCCTAGAAATATTTATACACACCTCTCCTTCTTAACCTCCCCTGCATTACCTTCTTTATCTCCTCCTAGTAATCAAAGAGCCACGCTCTCCCCTGCAGAGAAATGTTTCCACCATCCTTCCCCAGCTCTTTCGAACCTGATAAACAGGTCCCAAAGAGCCTCATCCCAACTGTCTGGCCAGCAGCTGGATCCTCCAGCTCTTCCTTCACTCCCTCTCTCCAGCGCTCGCTCTGCCTCTCTTGCCGACGTGGGGGCCTCCTCTGTCCCTTGTGCTAACCTGCCCGGCCAGGCGCTCCAGCTCAGCCCCCCAGCCCCGCACCCACGTTGTGGCAGTGGCACCTTGCCTTCAAGACTTGGGAGATCTGAAAGCACCATATCCGACCACAGGTCGCCTGTGTCAACCCCATCACTTCCCATATCTCTAACAAGAACTGAGGAGCTGATTTCACCTTGTGCATTGTCCATGTCAACAGGCCCTGAAAATAAGAAACCCAAGGTATTTTTTGCACGTTGCATGGTGCATGCTTACTTTGGAATGGGAAAGAATCTTTTTTTCCCTCCCATGGGAAAAATCAATAATTATAATGTTCATTCTGCTCCTACAGGGAGGTAGAGAAAGTGCAAGGGGGAGGAGACTAGGATTTGTTATATTTGAATGTGGAGATGCATTATAATCTGTCTAAAATCACATGTTTCAGTCAAATCCTCTGATTTTACAAGTAGTTCTCCTAAGGTAACTTCTTATGTCTATGGCCGCAAGGGCATTTTTTTCCCCCAAACACAATATGAGCTACGCCATTGGTCCTAATTACAGAATAAGAAGCAGCTGGTTGAGATTTGGGAATATGATACATTTCTGATTACTTAATAACAGGGACCCTATTATCCATCAACATTTTCTGTATTGACAGAATAATAGGCAGGATTAGTATAAAATGGAATATTATTTTAGATCTAGCCCTATAATATGGCCAAGCCAGATCGAAAACTTTCTATTTCTCTTACCCAGATTAATTTATCATTATTATTAATTTCCTCCCCCACCAGGTTGATTTCTTTATTACTCCTCATACCATAAGCTAAATCAATATGACTTTAGCTATATACATATAGGACAAAAAGGAATAGAAATTTTCCTTATATGTGAAAATTATTTGATTTATTATAAACACTAAATACTTAGCAATTATGAGATCCAGAAAGGATGGACAAGCTGCATATAAGGAAATAGGTTTAAGAGAAGAGAAATATTGGTTTTATATGTTCTGAAGCAACCCACTGAGTAAGGATGTGAAAACAGCACTTCTTTTACTACCAGAAAGGATTTGAAAGAATAACGCCATCGTTCAATTCTCCTGGTGGTAGGCAACTCTGCTGTAGGGCATTCCAGCTTACCAACTATTCTCAAATAATTCAGAATGTGAATTTATACACCCAGAATTTGATAGCTATTATAGAAATAAAATAAAATTATGAAAGTGCCTGTAATAGGAGGGGTAGGGATTTTCAATTCAATTATTGAAATAATATAGTTTGGGAGCTTCCAAATACCATAAAGAGTGTTTTAACTCTGTCACTTATACAACGAATGTAAGGTTGAAGTGTTGAAGTGGCCCTCATGATGGTTAAGGATGTTGCTATACTATTGAACTTGGAGAGCATGCATTGAACACCTACTATATACCCATCACTGTACTAGCTTTCTTTGGAGTGTGTGTGGTTTTTCTAAAGAGAACTAAGAGGTATTTCTTTGTTTTTCTAAAAAATTCAATTTTATTCAGCAGAAAAAATATGCATATACATGATGCAGAGAGGCTGTATAGAATTATGAAATCTAAATACAGCTAGAAAACAAGTATGAGGCAAGATTAACATTGTGTAAATCAGATTATAAATAGGATAATTATTGACTGAGTTCAATATAATAGGAATATTATTTATGGGATATGGTTAGCATGGGAAGTTATCGAAAATATCAGGCCTGTTGGAACTGTTTAGGATTTCACCTAATGAATAGGAGTAGAGTTGGCATTTCAGAAATGGAAAACAACCTAACCAAATATATAGAAGATGAACTCAGAAGAATATATGTGGAGACATGAGAAGATTGATCTCATAATCGAATAATAATAATAGTAATGGTATCAAATGCTTTGTGTGAGTCAAGAACTATGCTAGTAGTTATACAAAATAGTTGAATAATTAATTAAGATGGATTATGTCAGTTAATTTTGATAACCATATGAGTCTGGTAATATTATTATCCTTATTTTTCATGTCAAGAAACCATAGTTCAGTAAATAGCTTGTCCAGGTCACATATCTGGTATAGAGCTGACATTTGTATTAATTTAAGTCTGTTGATTCTTGAAGCCATGCTATTTATTACTATGATTTATTGCTACAAAGTAATAACTCATATTAATTACTAATTTAGCCTGACTTTATAATTCTCATGAAGAAAATTATTATTTTGGAATAATGACCAGAATGTTCAATTTATATAATATTTGGGTCATTTTCAAATGTACTAGAGGTTATTTAGTGCTTGTATTTTAAACTTTCAAAGCAAATGAGGTAAATGATATTTAATTTTTTCTAGGATTCTAAATTTAAAATTTTTATTTATTTGATGTAAAATGACATGGTTATTATCTTTTCAACACATATGTGGTGTGATTATAAAATTTGTTTGTGGTGCATTAAAAAAGAACCTGGCAATCTAATCATTACTGTTTTCTAAATTTATTAACTGTCATTTCTTAAACCATGCTGCCATACTCTTAAATTGTTAATTACCTTTGTGAAAAGTGATTTTACTGCAGAAGCTTCTTCAAAGTGTTTCTGTTTGTGGTTCACTGTGTTTTGTTTATGTTTTGTCTGTTTTGGATATAGTCAGAGAGTTGAAAAAGGGTGAGCTCTCAAGGGCTTTTGATAAATTAAAGGCCTATTTATTGAAGACCTATTTTTCCTTGGCTCTCTTCCTTCTCCCAATAATGAACGCTTTTCAGCATTTACTTTTTTTTTTCTTTTTGCTTTGTTTTATTTCCAAGTTAAGAAAATTCAGGCTTATAGAAATGTATGACAAATTTTATGAACAGGAAAATAAGAAGAATGATTATATTTTACCTACCAGTAAAAATATTAATCTATGCTTTTGAACAGATAAAAAAGCTTCTTATCATGGGTAAGATTTGTTACAACTTCTGCTAAAATAATTGCTCTTTGAGACATGCTGTTCTTTTTCATATTTTTCTCACATTTTGCTATATTATCTCTCTAGGTAAAAATTTTTTTATTACAAACTATTATTTTCAGAAATTTAACTTGAGTATAAAATTCATTAAAATTTATGCTGGAATAGATAAATCTTATCCCAATTTCTTTTGACATTTGACTAATGTTTAAATTGGTAAGATTATTTTATACAATGGTAGGAGGCAATAGACAAAAGCTTTGTGATATCAAAGAATTTATATGCTTTCATGGGTTGTTTCTTGTCTTGCTCCTTTCAGTGTGATGTTAATCTGAGCACAGGGCTCTTTTTGAAGTCAAAGAGCTTCAGATTTAGGTCAGCTTCATTCACTCCAGATCCCAAAAGGTTAGGGGTCTTAGAACACAGAAAGCCATCAAATTAAAACGCAAATGGCTGAAGGATATTAGTTCAAAGTCTGGGTCCTACTGTCCTTTGATATGAAAATAAAATGGATCAGCTAGAGTATGCTGAGCTAAATTCAGATACAAAGCATGTTTGATGTTTCTTTTTCATGGAATCTTACAGTTCTGAATCTGTTTGCATTAGTATGATATAATTGACATGACATGTTAATTTCAGATGTACTTTTTAAAGTATTATTTCACATTATAATCAGTGCCCTAGACTGGATAGGCATCACTCTGAATGTTTCTCGGGCTACTTTTTGATCATTTATATTGTCTGAAACTTCTTTTTCCTTTGGGTAACACCGGATATCACAAAATTCACCCTTGGGATTGTTTTGATTTCTAGTTTGCCTTTATTTTGCCTTTATTTATAAATGAGTTTAAGTTTTTCTCCTAGTGAGTTATCATGGTCTTCCATATAAAAATTGGGGTGACTATACATCAAAACCTCATCTCGTCTGTTGCTCACTGAAGATGGTCTGATAATCTCTTCCAGCTATGAAGGCCTTCAATGATGGGGCAGGCCTGGTCTTAAGGCTATTCAAATGCATAGCTTGTTTAGGGAATGAGCTGGGAGCCTTTTGATATCTCATGAACATTTATATCTGGTGTTTTATTTGTAAAACTCTCAATCTTTTAAGGCATCAAAACATCTCCAGGTATATCACACTAAAAACTTGGTGGCAGCAGTCTGTATGTGATTTTCTCCATTTCTGCAGAACCACATGTAATTTGGGAAATAAGCAACATGCAATGTGTCTCTAGTAGCTAAAATAGTTAAACTGGGTTCAGATAAATTATCCATTCAATAAATATGTGATGACTACCTAATATGTGCTTTTCAAAGCTGTGAGGATATTGCAACAAATAAAACATCCAGAAATGCCTATCAAAGAAAGTCGATATTCTACTAGGGAAGAAAAACAATCAACAATAACTCCTCCAAAATAAGTAATTTATCTTGTGTGTTAGAAGTTTGTAAGCGGTATAAAAGAATAGCCATGTAAGGAGAATAAAGAAGCTACAGTGATACAAGTTTATGTTGGGTGCTTAGGATAGGTTTCTTTGAGAAACTGACATCCAAGGAGCTGATGCTCCTTAGAACGGTATAGTGATAAAAAAATCCTGAGTCCAGAGAATGCTTGATGGGTACAAAGAACAGATTTGGGGCCAGTGTTGTGACAGTAGAATGAGTGACAAGGCCTTGAGGTTCTGAGAGGGTAACGTAGCTGGGAGCTGGATCCTGTGGAATCCTGAAGTTCACTCTTTAGTCTTTGATATTTTTCTTTGAGTAATACAGGAAACCATTGGAGCATTTTGAATAGATGAGTCAGTATTATCTACCCTACTGCTGTGTTAAGAATAGACCTTAAGAGGGTGAAAGAGGAGGTTGAAAGAGTTTAGAAGGCTATTGCAACAATTTAGGTGAGTGCTGATGGTGCCTCTGGTCAGCTTATGGCAGTGGAGATGAAGATAAGATTTCTCTGTATATTTTGTAGGTAGAGTAACAGACATTCACCAATCATCAGAGCCACTATACAAAATGATAAAACAGTTGAAATTAGACTTATGTGCCCTTCTTGTTTTCTTGTTTTGTTTTTTTCTCCTTTTTCTTTTTATCTCATTGTCTTTTACTTTATCCCCTTCACAAAGTTCTAGTAGCTTTCTGGGCATTCTTGACTTCCTAAGATTCTCCCACCCATCACTTCTGCCCCTATACTAACCAGTTCTGTGTCCTAGTCTCTTTGCTTCTCAGCTAGCCTCTCTGAATTGCTCTTAGTAATGATTCACACTCAGGTGTCAATGATTTAAAAAAAATGTTGCTTTTACTACT